TGTCCATGTGAAGGTAATCGCTGGATGGAAGGAGGAAACTGTCCATGTGAAGGTAATCGCTGGGTGGAAGGAGGAAACTGTCCATGTGAAGGTAATCGCTGGGTGGAAGGAGGAAACTGTCCATGTGAAGGTAATCGCTGAGTGGAAGGAGGAAACTGTCCATGTGAAGGTAATCGCTGGGTAGAAGGAGGAAACGAAATGTAAAAAATAGTTTAGGTCTCACAAGGGTGTGCTGGTTACACCAACAATGTCATCAATATAACGTTTACAAAGAGTACGAAATAATTACGCTACAAAACCCACACTTTAATAACCCTTCACACTGCATGTCTGACTTCTCCATACTTGGGTTCACATTTGCTCCATCAACTGTAACGCTAAGAGAATGGCTGGAAAAACGTTTGATTTTTAGATTAGGCACTGTTAATCCCTTTGGAATGAATGAAGAGTTCTTTTTCCTTTAACTCTATCTTTTCCATTTTCCCACCCTACACTTTAGTCACCCACTTTTGTTACCTTTATATTCTTTTCTTTTCGTCGTCATTCTTCACTCCTGTTAATTGAACATAACTTTTATTGTTGTATCCCTTTTAACAATATTACCCGATACTTGTGCACATTCATTTCCTTACAATGTTGCCTGTATTCTCGTTCTACTTTTTTTCTTTAGTTTATTTACTGCGATTTACCATATATATACACAATTTTGATACTTTATATATATATGTGTGTGTTTGTGTGTGTTTTACTTCCATTAACTCATTTGTACCTCAGGAACATGTTTTCGAGCTATTGAGCCACGTGTTACTTGTTCTTTCAACCAAACCCTTGTGTTAACAGTTTCATTATCACTGGTAACCATGTTGCCAGGAGCGTTGTTTTCGTGTTTTATTAATAAAAATTATTTTAATTTGGCGAATTTTTCACTACTACTTTATCTTCTATTTTACATTTTGTTATATAATAGTCATGTGTTTGATTACCACGGAGTAATGCCTTCAAAATAAAACTGTATCAAAGTTCCGCACTTCTGTCACAATTTAAACGTAATGAAGCGAACATTAAGCGACACTTTTTGGCCTAGATCTTTAATAGATTCACGAAACCAAGGATCTCGTTACTCGTAGAACTAATTGAGACTCGAATGAAACTAGAGAATAATTTAGATAT